CGGGGTATTTTTGTCCGTGAATCAACGTTTGCCCCGTTACGTCGACCCTATCTAGTTTTCCTGCTGTTGACGTCGAGTACTTGGGGAAGGAGTACTTTTCCTACACTGCCACCTCGTATGACCTAGTTCGCCGCAATTCCAACATCTTAGCCTTCGTTTTTCTTTATAGAACTTAGAAATGATTCGGCAGACGGTTTTTTCTAAAGATTCTGACGAATCCGTTTCTTCACACAGTAGCCGAACCCTCCCCTGTTTGCTATAGGCCCGTTTAATAGTTTCGTACTCCAATTCATGAGCCAATGCATCAGCTAGCGTCTTAGGTCAGTCAAGGCGTATTCGTTGTTGAGTGTTACTGTCCCGAAGTCCATCGGTAAATGCCTCCACTGCCAACCTTTCCATCAATTCTTCTGGAGTATTAGGATAGGCCAGTCGAGACAGTCTCGCAATATCGGCTTCGAATTCTTGTAGGGATTCCATTGGTTTCTGTTGACGGGTTTTCCGTTGGATGTGATACACCGCTGTTAAATGAGCCTCGCCGTAGCACAACTCCAACCGTTTTACCAACTGTTCATAATCCGCCAATTCTTCCGGGGAAAGGGTATTCAAAATGTCACATACCTCTCCACGAAGCGCAACGGTCAACGAAGTGGCTTTTTCTCTAGGCGCCCAGTTATTCCCATTAGCAGCCGTCTCGAATTGTTTGTGGTATGTGGTCCATGAGAACTTTCAAACGTTTGGCTGACTTCGTTTTTCCATTAAAAATCAATTCTTCCAGCACTTTTATCTTCTCTTCTGTTTCTTGAATATTCTTATTAAATTTTTCTTCCCATTTATTCTCCAAGCTTTTACTGTTTTCTTCCAATTTATTTTCCAAACTTTTACTGTTCTCTTCNAACGTCTAAGTCGAAGCAGCTCTATTAAAGCAAGTTCGTATTCCATCATCTATTAATATCTGCCTGCTATCTATTTATCGTAAAATGCTAAATAAAGGTCACATTAAGACATCTACTTGTTCAATTCAATCGACGACAAGTAGATACAGTAAAATTGAAAGATCTGAGATTATAAATCATCTTCGTCATAATATCTTACTTCAGTACGCGTAATAGTAAACGTTTTTTAAAAATAATGTTAAGGGTAGAAAGAGAAGACAAGAAATCATGTCACATCAAGGTGCAGTTTTAAAATATCATCTTCATCTTAGCATTTCTGAACATTCATAGGCGTGCTGAATACAAAAAAATGTTTGAATAAGTAAATAAAATTAACTTCCCTTAACGTAAAACAACAGTATACAGTTTTATTTATGACGGTGGCAATAACCGATAGTTTATGATGATCAGGGACCACTTTCAATTTTACAGGCTATATACATAACTAGACGTCTAGCGTTTGCTGTACTGTTATATAAAAAAAAAACTTGGGTGTTTCATTCCCACCAGCCACTAATGCTAGTGGGCGAGCAGTCCCTCCAGACTACGTCGGAAGGTACGGCGGAAAGCCCTTTTCAACCTCCTCTCAGGAATCGTGGGAATGGGTGGGACGTGGTTCGGCTGAGAAAGATGGGACGGACGAAATGAAGGCTGAAGAGAATGAAAGATTATCGGTGGAATATTACTGCCCCAACATTTGCCTAAGTAATCCAAGCAAATCACAGAAAAACTTGGACCAAATCTTGTAAATCTAACTATCATTTCCATTTCCAAACACAAACCTTTAACATAGGTAGGTACGCATGTGTAGAGGTATGTTGGTAAAGATCTACTAAAACTTTTTAAAAAGCAAAGTTCTAGACTTTGTATTTCTTTCTTTCTACTTAATAAGTACTTTAGTATTATACACTTCAATATCTGCGTTAGTACACTTCAGGCCAACCTGAACAATTGGCAATAAAGCTATTCAATTTGCAAACTATTAATTAAGAATTGGAGCAGAGTTCATAAAAGTATACATTAATTCAGCATGAATGGTGGTTTTAAGAAACTATCATGTTTGCCTATGAATTTCATGTACTTACTTACCATAAAAACTAAAAGATAATAAACTGAATACTACTTATCAAAGCAAGAAACAGAATATTTTGCAAATGGAGCATATTAATATTTGATATTAACCCCTATTAAAAAATGTCAGTGTTTCATAGTTATGGTACCTCATTTGCTAATCACGTTTAAAAAAGAGATGAAACAGATTTGAAAAATATACAAATAAATAATTTCAGGTAATTTGTAGTGGGTGAAAATTGAATTAGTTTCACATTAATGTTTGAATATTATTAAATATTAACTGCTATCGAAAGCTTTTTAACGTGTTTAATATATTAATATATGTGGAATGTCCATTAATTTCGATGAGTCTGTGACATAATAAGTAAGTTTCTTCGTTGTTGCTGCGGTCACATTTCGTGGCTTAGTTGCTAGAGCGGCATCACGTAAAGCCAAAGGCTCGGGTTTGACTCCCGACGACGGTGTAAAAGCAGCAACAATTTTTCTCATTAATTTGAGGCGGTTTGTAGTGGATGAAAATTGAATTAAGTGAACATTAATGTTTGAATATTATTAATTGTTAACCATTTTAATAGCTTCTAATAAGATTATACCTCCCTACATCAAAAGGTATATCAGTATCAAAAAATCTATCCTATCCCTGACGACGATAAGAAAATCTGTTACCACCAACAAGATTTCATCTCGCAGCTGCAGAAGAATCATGGACCGAAGAACAATGTCCCATTTTTGAAGAAAAAGCAAAGAAAAACAGAAAATGCAAAAGTGCTCTTTGTCACGCGTAAATTCCGTTTGTGAACCAATTCTTGTTACAAATAGCAAAAGTATAAACTTATAACACAGTTCAATAGCAATATAAAAGTGACAGAACAGTGCAAATTCATGAAAAATTTGTCACTTGAAACGCATTAGTTTACTCTAAAGATAAAACTATTGGCAATGAAATTTTTGAAAGCACTCAATAATATCTCAGATATTAAAAGTGGTAGTTAAAAACTTCCTCAATGCGAACAACTACATTTATCTTGGACAAAACCACTTAAGCAATCTCGATGATGTTAGAACAGAAGCAAAAGAACTAAGTAACAAAGTGATTATGCAACCTTTACTTATTATGATATGTTTACTATGAGTATTAATGTACTAATGTACATTTTTAAAGATAAACTATCGAGAATACTAAGAAGAAAATATAGAGACACCCCAAATCATGAAAATGACTTAGAAATATTACCTTTGAGGGAACTGTAGAAGATGTATCTAACCCTACCATCAGCTCCACAACGCGAGGAAGCTTTGAACTATGGGGTAGGGGGGATTATATCAAGGAAACTTCCATACGTGATACTTTCATTAGAAAGTAAAGTAATTCAAGATTGTCCTCATAACATAACTTCCTATATACGTGTTAATAATTTGTATTAATATTTAAGGCCTTAAAAAATATTAAAGACTACGCCGGAATAGCTGATTTCGTAATAATCTAGTCTAGTAATTTTTTGGGGTCAAACGTGTAAATCGCGATTCGTAACCACGCGGCGTTACAATAAAATAAAATGCTGTTGTTAATTATTTTTTTTAAGGATCAATAAAAGACTTTCATTAAACTACGTAGATAGCGTTAAATTTTGTTAAATCTCAACAGCACGCCACAAAGTCTCGATAAATCAACGTCGAGTCGAAGCAGCTCTATTAAAGCAAGTTCGTATTCCGTCATCTATTAATATCTGCCTGCTATCTATTTATCGTAAAATGCTAAATAAAGGTCACATTAAGACATCTACTTGTTCAATTCAATCGACGACAAGTAGATACAGTAAAATTGAAAGATCTGAGATTATAAATCATCTTCGTCATAATATCTTACTTCAGTACGCGTAATAGTAAACGTTTTTTAAAAATAATGTTAAGGGTAGAAAGAGAAGACAAGAAATCATGTCACATCAAGGTGCAGTTTTAAAATATCATCTTCATCTTAGCATTTCTGAACATTCATAGGCGTGCTGAATACAAAAAAATGTTTGAATAAGTAAATAAAATTAACTTCCCTTAACGTAAAACAACAGTATACAGTTTTATTTATGACGGTGGCAATAACCGATAGTTTATGATGATCAGGGACCACTTTCAATTTTACAGGCTATATACATAACTAGACGTCTAGCGTTTGCTGTACTGTTATATAAAAAAAAAACTTGGGTGTTTCATTCCCACCAGCCACTAATGCTAGTGGGCGAGCAGTCCCTCCAGACTACGTCGGAAGGTACGGCGGAAAGCCCTTTTCAACCTCCTCTCAGGAATCGTGGGAATGGGTGGGACGTGGTTCGGCTGAGAAAGATGGGACGGACGAAATGAAGGCTGAAGAGAATGAAAGATTATCGGTGGAATATTACTGCCCCAACATTTGCCTAAGTAATCCAAGCAAATCACAGAAAAACTTGGACCAAATCTTGTAAATCTAACTATCATTTCCATTTCCAAACACAAACCTTTAACATAGGTAGGTACGCATGTGTAGAGGTATGTTGGTAAAGATCTACTAAAACTTTTTAAAAAGCAAAGTTCTAGACTTTGTATTTCTTTCTTTCTACTTAATAAGTACTTTAGTATTATACACTTCAATATCTGCGTTAGTACACTTCAGGCCAACCTGAACAATTGGCAATAAAGCTATTCAATTTGCAAACTATTAATTAAGAATTGGAGCAGAGTTCATAAAAGTATACATTAATTCAGCATGAATGGTGGTTTTAAGAAACTATCATGTTTGCCTATGAATTTCATGTACTTACTTACCATAAAAACTAAAAGATAATAAACTGAATACTACTTATCAAAGCAAGAAACAGAATATTTTGCAAATGGAGCATTTCGTGTTCGAAATTTTTTATTCGTAAACAGAAGTTTTGGTGAATGACTAGAGAGCAAACTCCAAAAAAATCACAAAATAGTTAAATATTCAATAAATTAATTATATCTAAATATTTCACAAACCTCGACTCTTTCCTCTTTTAGATCGACTTTCATTGCTAACTGCTCCCGTAAAACAACGTCAGGGTAGTGTGTCTGTTCGAACGTTGCTTCTAACTGCTCTAACTGTTCTTCGCTGAAAATTGTGCGATGTCGTCGTTTTCGTTTTGGCTGCTGTTGTTGATGATGACCGTGATGCATAGATGAGCTTGTGGATGTATTTTGTGAGGCAGACGTCAGTGCGTGAATGTAACTTGGGTAAAGTGGGTATGCCATAGCTAAATAGAAGAACAATTATTATAAACATAATTGCATGACTTTGTAATTTTAAACAATTTTATATTATAAAGACGACGCTACTAGTAAATTAGTATTTATAGAACAGAAAAAAATAAATAATGTCATAAATTCTGCTTAAACATTGTCATTTTTTAATTACAGCTATAAAATCTCATTATATATCTACTGTTTTTATCTATGTGAATTTTGTGTGTGCGTATGTGTGTGTGTATGTGTGTGTGTGTCTGAGTGTTTGTATGTATGTGTGTCTTCTACCCACCTACGTAGAATTATAACATTCTAGCATCATTCAAGCAAAGTATTTTGTCTTCTATTAGCCACATGTGAAAACTTTGGCAAAGCGTTTCCGATTGTTGTAAGATAGAAATAATAATTAACAAAAACCTGAGCAAAATATGCCTAATATTAAGGTTAATGGTTATGTTGAATCCTAGCTGCAAAGATACTCAATAAGAATTATTGTCTCTTGACATTGCCACTAAATGAAGTTCGTTACGTCCTCTTTCGTAGTCAGATGTCATTTTACAAAATAACCTTATAAATCTCTTGAAAGATTTATTATCACGCCTGTCATTTTAGATGATCCAAATTAAATTCTCATAATCCTGTAAGAAAGGACATGACCACGACAATACTCACTCAGTTCATGTTTTCAGTACCTATCGACGTACATGAAGTCCGAAGCTTTGAATATATTAGAGACTATACGTTCCTAAATTTTCCAATATTGCTATGCTTCTGACACAGTACTTACCTAAGGGAATAAACCATTGTGTTGGGAACCGGACTGTCAAGCTGCTTTCTATAAATTAAAGTAAGTTCTCGCTTCCACACCTGTGTTTAGGCTCTGGGCACCGATACGAGCAATATTAGGATAGGCGCAGTGCTCTCTCACATACAAAAGGGGAAACTCTAAGCCCGTCGAACAGCACGTCGTGGATGGGCAGTGCTACCCTGACAACATCAGAGTAGAACGATACTCTGTGGGTTCTGCGAGTACTCCGAGAATTGAAAAATAAAGGAAGACGACCGACCTAGTAAGAAATGGCTGCTAAATACGAGGGTGGATTGATAAGTTTCCGGCCTAACCAAGAGATGACGCCACTAGGCCTACCTTGAGGTGACATTCTATAGTACCATCCTTGGATAGCTTGTAGCTATAGTTTCAGCCCGATCTCCTTGCTAGTGTAGGTTTGACAGCACGCTGAACAAGACGCCTCTGTGGTTTTCGTAAAAATGGAAAAGCAGGAAAATCGTGCTGTCATCAAATACTTTTATTTGAAGGGGTTAACGCCGAAGGAAATTAAAAAAGAGATGGACTCAACACTGGGGACATCCTCCCTGTCATATTCAACCGTTAAGCAGTGGGTTTCCGAGTTTAAAAAGGGTCGTGTGAGCACCTCTGATGGGCCTCGCTCAGGACGCCCCGTTGAGGTCACAACTCCAGATATGATCGAAAAAATTCATCAAATAGTGCTGGGAGACCGCAGATTGAAAGTGCGTGAGATAGCTGAGACCTGTAAGATGTCATATGAACGTGTGCAACATATTTTGCACCAACATTTGCATATGGAAAAGCTCTGTGCAAGATGGGTGCCGCGTTTGCTAACAGTCGACCAAAAATTGATTCGAAAAAACATTTCTACCGCAAATTTGTCATTGTATAAGCGTAATCCAAGCGAATTTTTGCGTCGATTCGTAACCGTTGACGAAACGTGGGTCCACCACTACACTCCTGAAACCAAAGAACAGTCTAAACAGTGGATTGGACCAGGGGAACCAACTCCAAAGAAGGCAAAAACAATTTTTTCGGCGAACAAGGTTATGGCTACTGTTTTTTGGGATGCAAGAGGTATTATATACATTGATTACCTTGCAAAGGGTAATACTATCACTGGTCAATACTACGCAGACTTATTGCAACGTTTGAGCCACGAGGTGAAAATTAAAGGACCTCATCTGGCGAAGAAAAAAATCTTGTTTCATCACGATAACGCACCAGCGCACACGTCAATCGTTGCGACGGCTAAAATCAACGATCTAAAGTTTGAATTGATGCCGCACCCTCCTTACTCTCCAGACCTAGCCCCGAGTGCCTATTTTCTGTTCCCTAATCTCAAAAAATGGCTTGGCGGTAAGAGATTTGCGGACAATGAAGAAGTAATCGAAGCTGTAAATGGTTATTTTGAGGAGCTTGACGAATCAGTCTATAGAGATGGCATTAATAGACTGGAACACCGCTATGAGAAATGTATCAGCCTTGGAGATTATGTTGAGAAATAAAAAAAAAAAATTTTTAAAAACCTTGTTTTTCTTGGTCAGGCCGGAAACTTATCAATCCACCCTCGTATACCGAAGTGAGATCGTTAAGGCTCAATGGGATTTTATTGTTGAAGAAGATGATTCAGCTTATTACACCGCGATTTTGGTGAAAGACGGTTCTTCGGGAGGACATTTTAGGGTTAACAAGACACTTGGATGGGTATATAAGCGATTTTACTGGGTTAATTACAAGAAGGACGTTGAAGACTGGTGTAGGAAGTGAAAAACTTCGGTATCCAGTAGGGGTTTACAAAAATGACAGCGTGCCCCCAAACACCAATATAATTTCGAAAGTTCATTTGTGAGAACTGCAATAGATGTAGCAGGGTCGTTTCCGGAAACCGATAATCGAAATAAGTATATCGTATTTATTGGTATTATTATTATTGCTACGTAAAAAGTATATTAATACATGTGTTAACTACAAGAATGGTTTGTATAAATTTTTTGTACTTCAAGAAACGAATATTTTTTTAAGGGGAGGACTTAATGGGGAAGGGGAGCTCCGATCGTGAAAATAGAGTTGCATATGCACTATTAACTCTCCTGCATTACATCAATCCAAAATTGTTGCCTATCGAAACCTGACAGGCCTGTTCGCTGTTGTGCATATTGTCATGATTCTTCTCTATTATACTGTTTTGTTTCAAAACTGAACGTCATTGCTGATGAAAAATGACGTAAACGGAGATGATTTCGTGTAATTCATATTGTAATTCGCAGGTCGACAGTCGAAAAACGTAGCCGTATTAACGTGTAGTGAAGAAAGTTGTGCGCTCAAATGTGGTAATTTGCTGTTTAATAATTTACTCATAGTTTATTTGGTGGTATTTTTTATGTGGTTGGACTCAGTACAGTGTGCATATATGAAACGAGTACGGTAGATGCACATGTACAAAAAATTTCAGCATAATTGCGATCCGTCGGTCGGCAAAATCTAGGTTACTACAACACGAATATAAAAATGCTTAATGTACAATTATCATATAAACCATATAGATATATATATATATATATATACGATCTATATTTTATCAATATATAAGTCTAGCACATATTAAATTCAGGTCTTCTCCTTCATCAGCTCCAGTTTCGCAAATAGACAGTATGTCTTATCCCTCTCTAACTATGCATTGCTGCATTTTGTTTTAAAGTACACAAATTATCTGATATTTGTATTTCGTAAACTATCTAAATTTATTCAAACAGAGATTTTAATAGTTTAAGCATAATTGACGTAGCTGCGGGATATAATTTTAAAAATTACAAGTAAAAAGCTGTTAACGGTATTTAGTCCCCACAGACTTTTATATATGAATCACTTTTATATCATTGAAGGTTAAACAAGAAATTTTACAACCGGTGTGTAGATATAACAAGAACGAAAAGTTTAATTATATTTATACCAACACAACTACTACAAAAAGTATACTACCTACCATAACTAACTCATTCTTGTTACATACCCACGAGCCGGCATCAATTCAACGACACATCGGGTTGATAGGTAGATATATGTTAGTTTCAAGAGTTCGTAATCTATAATAAAATACCACAAATGGCGCGGTAAACGTCATCTGTAGTACAATGCTACATTTTAGGGTTACGTATGCTCCAACAAGGTCCATTAAATATATGGATATCTACTTGCTGAAACGAATCCCGGCGTAGCTAAACTCAACGTGATAGGCACGTTACCATAATCGAATAAAATAATGGTAACGTGCTTATCACGTAGTGGTTAGCTACGCCGGGATTCGTTTCAGCAAGTAGACATCCATATATTTAAATAGACCTTGTTGGAGCATACGTAATCCTGTGTATGTATATAATGTAGCATCGTACTACAGATGGCGTTTACCGCGCCATTTATGGTATTTTATAAAACGCGCTGTTAAGACAACAGGTAAAAATTGGTCTGTATTCTGTCGAAGATGTCTCCAAAAAGATCGAAATCGTGATCCGCGTCTGGCAGTTTCGACAGAATACAGACCACTTCGAATCATTTTATTTGTAATCTATAAGATCAAAAACAACGTCTAATAAATTAATAATGTTGCTTTCAGAATTATATTCTAAATGCAATTTAAATTATGTTTAGGAATATCAAAACATGATTTTAGCATGACAAGACAACCCTAATAAACTGAAACAGTAAAAAGCAAACCAGTTTGATTTCTTTAATATACAAAAGGTTTCACATTGCATTATCCAGGATATCAGTGGTACCTACTAAACCTAATAATATAACGATTGCAAATTCCACTGGTTCAATGGCATTTTATTAATTATAATTATAATTCAGTCAAAAGGATCTTATAGCCCTCAAAAGGTAGATACAGAAAATAAATAACAAATCTTAAGTATAGAATATAGTTGTAATTATATCATAATCCAGTATAAGTATAACAAAGGGCAAAGTCCTACACATTTAAAAGAAGAAAGGGCATCCTACGACCATTTTGTTCTGAAGTAATTCATTCTATTTTTAACATTTTTGAAAATCGACGTAGGCAGCATTTTTATCTAAACAATAGGGTGGGCTAGGTTATGATGGGTAAACCAACTTCTACCTGTTCACATCTCGCATTTTCATTTCATCAAATTTGCAAATGATGAAGAGATATTTACAAAGACATACGAAATTTTTTCTATTTTAAAAGATTGACAAATAATTATTTACTTACAGATATTTACTCGATTTCTGGATATTAACCTTAGTTTAAAGTTCTATTATTATTTGCAATATCTTCCAGCGATTTTTTCATTTAAATCTGAAACAGATTGTACACCTTTGTACATACAAGCATGTATAAAAGCGGTCTTTCTTCAATAAAAGTAAAGTGGAGGAAACAGCAATAATATATGGAAGGTTAAGCTCCGTAAATTTACACACGATCAGGTTTTGATACAACCACGTTAAATGTGAATTTGAATAGGATAAAGGAAAAGAATTATTACCACCCCTGGTGGTTTGACGAAAGAATATCTGAACAATGAGTTTTCAAATCTGCAGATAAATAAAATACAGCTTGTCCTGGCATTAGTAATAAGAATTTGTAATGCAACGGAATGTGTATCAGTTACACTAGAATAGCATGATTTTTTCAAAATGCAACGAATGGTGGAACTAAACTTAGTTAATTATATTACTAATGTTTGTCTAAAAGATTCTCTGGAATTAAAAATTGCAATCATTGAATGGATCCTTTAAATACCCTCACTGATGCTTTTTACATTTATTATTTAGTATTCAACTTATTACAATACTTATGTGGATTGAACAAGTAAATGCACCTACATATGCAGGAAGCCTCTCGTTGGAACTTTAAGAAATAGTAGTCGAAATTTAATTTTGAAAATTTCGCATCCGTAATAATTTGATAAAAATGAATTCTTAATATGAAATATTTTCAATTCCACTTCCGGTTATACTAGAAATAGCTTTATATTTGTTATTTTAAAATAGAATCATTATCATCATAAGGTCGTCAGTCCTAAGACTGGTTGGACACGCA